ACAGATTCTTCGAATATATTCTCTGCTGTTCTGGCAAGATTGTGTAAATTTTATAGCGTTGCCAATCGTTGTACATATTCGGCAGCGTGCGATGGATGCGCTCGGGAATGTCATATTCATTGTCTCGATGGTGTGAGAGTTGCGTTGAGCGAGAGAAGCTGGTTTTGACCCCGTTTGAAGAAGAGTCTGGACTACAATGTTAGACGCCCCTGCTAGAGTCTCTAGAAGGTACCTCCGACAGCCGGCTCGAGTGTTTATTCCACACCCCGCTCGAGCATCTTCGTAAAACCCAAACGGGGTGTAGGACCCGACCAGTCTAAACGAGGACCCGAAGGGACCCGAGGAGGATCCGAGAACCCGAAGGGGCCCGAGAAGGCCCGACCATTATACATTTGGACCCGAAAGGACCCGAGAAGGACCCGGCCATTGTAAGTCCAACCCTTGTCAATCCAAACTGCTTTGGAACTTTGTGTCACACATTTGCATTTGTAGTCTATCAGGCCTCAGTACGGCCAAGTTGAAACCCATTTCTAGCCTTCAAAACAGCTCATATTTTGGTCGCGTTCATTTGGGCCTCCCTAGTTTCAATTTTTTGGGGTCGCATTTTTTTCTTTTCGTTCGCGCCGCGCTTGTCATAATCAAGCCAAATTGTTCACAAAATGTGGCACCAAAAAAGGGCCCGCCACACAGCGCCATTTTTGGAACCTATGGGGGCCATTTCTGTGGCCGTTCTGAAACAAGCTTCAATAGAATTGCGGGGCCAAAATTGGGTCCCCCAAAAACACAAATTGAGATCCAAAATTGGTGTCAATTTTTGAGGCCCTCTTTTGATACCATTTGCTCACCGCGTGATGCTATTGTATTTCAAAATACATTAATTCAGCGAACCAGGTTTAAACAGTAGTGGCGGTGTCCGGTTCTTGCTTCATCATGATTTTATTTGTGTTTCGTGTTTGTCTTTGTTTTTTTGTTCCCTCTGTGTCTTCTTGTTGTTTCAAAATCAAATCACGTTCTACTATGATTTTATGCATAATACCAAATGTCTCCCTCTTGGTTCATAGTTGTCTCCCAGGTTGTCTCATTTTTTGTTTCAGATAGAAATGCCCTTGCAAATAAAATTCGAAACCGTGTGGAATGAAAAAATGTTGCCTGTGATTCATATTCATGCTGTTCTCAATCTCAATTGAGATGGATCAAAAACTTCCAGCATCAAACATCAGGAACTAGTAACACCTCAAACATGCACACACACAGGCTGCAATGGATATGAAATTACTGTTTGGGTCCTACAGGGGTGCAATCATTTTTGAATCTGATCCCGTGTGTGAGATGCGTTGCCTGAGACACATTTTCACTCGATTTTGCAGAAGACAATCTTTGAAAAAACATTTTTGATTTCAAAAAATGCTGGATGTTGCATGTAAATTGTTCCAATTTGAAAACAGTTTCTATTGGAATACAGGCAACATGCATTGAAACACTTAAGTTTGGATTTTTAAAGGCATCTAAATTCGCGCATTGGACATGAACACCCCCATGACCACGGCACTCAAAACGTCCGCTTCATTTTAGGGCATATTTTTTTGGTGTTGGTGATCCATGGTTTTTGTTTTGATTTTTTGTTCCTGAAAGCTAGCGGTAGCTTGCTGGAGTTACTCTTGCTTCAGCAAAGGGCGGGCAGGCCTGAGTCCAACACGGTGATTTTTCATTCGAAACCTCCCAAGTTCGTGGGGCATTTTGAAGCGGTGTTGGAAGCAGATGGTCACGGGCCCAAATCCTGCCAGGTCTCTAGGCAATATGTATTCAGCATATCAAAATCCCATCATGTTTCCAGGCTCATATGAACCTTAGCCTTCGCTCACCCTTCCCTTGGGTCTCAAGTCATGCCATCCGAGTGGTGTGCTCGCCGCATGGTTTTTCAATCCCCAGCGTTTGTATGATTCTTGTTTGTATTGTCAAGGACATGACAGAAAAACATAGGAACCAGGTTTGCCTTCGAAATCGAACATGCATTTTTTTATTTTTGTTGTGATGGCAAATGGGTGCGTCATCCCAAGATGTCGTTTTATTCGTTTAAAATTTACCAAAACAGGTAAATCGCGAAAACTAATTTGTGTTAGTTGATTTTTTTTGTTTTAGCAAGGAATAGGCAAACAGTACGAAAATCCAATTCCTAGAAGGTTATACCGGTTATACCCTCCCTTCCCCTTTGGCAAACTCGGGTCCAACCCCCCATGGTCCATGGTTTGAGGGCAGGTACAGGTTTGTCATCCATTTTCATTTTCATAAGGAACATTGTCATCATCATCATCATCACCCCCACAACCACCACCACCACCAATGATCATCATCATCATCATCATCATCAGCCCCTCTCTTTGTTTGGATGTGAATCCGGTTCTCTCCCTTGGCCTCAAGTATATCTGGGATTATCTGGATCCGTTGAATCACATTATTCCAGGTGCCCAAGGTGGATGGTTTGTTCTTGATACTGAAGTCATTTGGGGGTTTCCATGGGGGTACCCCAGCTGGATGATTTTTTTTTGAGGGAATTTCCTACTAACAGTTACTAACATAGATGATAATTGGGGGTACCCCTATTTCAGGAAACCCTCATTTCATTTATAGATTTGGGGACTTAATGTTTCATCCACAGCGGTTCGGCTCAATCCCCAGCATGGCAAACGTTCCAGTGGCAGATTTGTCCAAAGAGCAGCAGGTGCCAAACGATGTTGTCACTTCAACAAGAATCAATTCATGTTGGGGGTGAGAGTTGGTAAGATTACATGATGAACACATGGTTGAAATGGACAATATCGAAAATTTTGACACACCATAAATTGAATGTTGATCAGCTGGGGTGAAATGATCCCCATAAATTGAAACAACCCCAGCATAGAGAATTGGGTTCCCTTGGGTTCCCTTCACGCCACCGACATCAAAACTTCACCGGTTTCGGCAGGATGAACTCCTCTGCACTTACGCCGCGCTGATTCTCCACGATGATGGGGCTGCGCCTTTGTCCACAATGATAAATCATTGAATCATTTTTTTTTGTGATGATGATGATGATGATGATTAATTATTATTATTATTATTGTTATCCTTCTTATTATCATTGTCATTGTTCATATTGTTTCTCTTATTATGTTTATTATTAGTATCATTGTTGTTCTTGTACATTTGGAGACTTTATCCCAACATTTCTTTAGACATTTATCCCAACATTTCTTAACGTGTTTTTTGGGCAAATCGATTGCAACAGGGGAACGTCCGGGACGGTGGAGAATCGGAGAACTTCTCCTCTGGTACCCTCCGGTAATTTAACAATTTGCGACATAGAAAATGGCCATAGAAATAGTGAGTTTTCCCATTAAACATGGTGGATCTTTCCAGTTCGTTATGTTAGCCCGTTTCCCAGAGGGTAATATAATGATGGACAACCACCATTTTGAACATATTTTTTCGGTAAACATATATAGCGAGGCCATTTTCTGTAGCTCAGTGTTTACCGTCATGAGAGAACACTCCTTTGCACCAAGGAGATCAATCCTCAGAACATGACCAACCTGATCAAGGCACGCCGATGTTTTACCGTTGTAACAGCATGCTAAATTACGATTTGGAGTCGTGGAAAATTGAAACTCCAGCATTTTGGTGGTTTGGAACATGATGATGTTCTGGTTGGTGGTTTGGAACATCTTTTATGACTTCCATTTCATAATATGGGATGTCATCCTTCCCATTGACTTTCATATTTTTCAAGATGGTTAAAACCACCAACCAGTGTTGTATTCCATGCTGATTGCCCGTTCGATGATGGAAGATGCATTGCGACCCCAGGCGGCAGGGTGCAATGTCGAGGCATATTGGCCTTTGCTGATGTCCAAGATGATTTCCAACGACGCTCGCCGTTGATAGTCTACATACATCAACTTTGAGTGAACATGGGGAACCCCTTGGGTTTCTGGTACCTCAAAATGATGTGTTTTTGTTTTTTTCTTGGGACCCAAGTTTTGGACACGCCAAAAAGATATCATGTTTTAAGTGCACAAAGCCAAACTTTCGAGCCATGCCACGGACGGAACTGACAAATCTCGAGTTTTCTTTTTCCCCGCGGTGTAGCATTGGTGTAATAACCCTATTTTTTTTGGGTGTTTTGGATAACAGCAATCTTGGATGGCTGACATCCGGACTCACTTTGAGGAGAATACACTTTTGTGCTACCATCATTTCACACTTTGAGGTCACACTTTGACATCTACTTGATTGAACTACCTTAAACCAACTTTCTCAAAGTGGTGTACCTTTCCTTGTCTGTGAAACTCTCCCATGTGTCCAACATGTTTCTTGGCTGCCGCTTGACGTCTCCATTTCTCCTTGAAATTCGAAAAAATGACAGGGAACACACGTTGAAACACATAGCAATGACACGTTTGATGGGTCCGTTGTGTACCCAGACTCCCCTTGCAGAGGGTAAACCAACATAGCTATTGAAAATGGCCTTAGAAATAGTTTATTTACCGATTTACCCATAAAAAAATGTATGTTTTCTAAGTTTTTTGTATGTTTACCAGAGGGTAACACTGATGCTGACAGAGGTTGGCATGGAGACCCTCATCAAGCTGGGCAGCGGTGCCGGCGGTGGCGGTGGCGGTGGAGGAGGCGGTGGTGGTGCTGCCGCGGGTGGCGATGGTGGAGCCGCTGCAGGTGCAACAGAGGAGAAGAAGGCCTGGATTTTTTTTGGTTATAAACCAACAAGAAACGGAATATCATGGTGCAAGCATGACGGACATGTCATGACCTTTTTGCACATGTCACTTCACCCTTTTACATGAGGGTGGGCATTTGGGCCAAAAGCATTGCGCTGCACCCCTCGGTGCTTGACCATCAGGTTGGTCCGATTTGTTCCCTGGGTGGTAGGGATTAGACACCTTGTGATTTCCCCGATTGCATGGTAAGCGGAGCACCTGGGCTTTCGCCGCTGTTCTGCTGCTGAGTGGTCCTCGAGCTCTACTCGCGGTGCGGCTGCTTGGACTTCTACCTCTTCGCGCTGCGCTGCCTTGGACCTCGAGCTCTACGCGCTTTGGCGCTGCTGCTGCTGGGCCTACTTCCTGTTCTACCTGCTGGCGTTGGAACTTCATCCTGATCTACCTCCTGGTGCTGGAACTACATCCTGGACTTCCTCTACGGTGGGTTTGGAGCTGGCTGCAATGCCGGCTGAAGACAACGTCCCGACTTGGGATGGTGACCCTGCAAGCTTCGAGGCCTTTGTCACAGCTTGCAAGTGGTATGCATCCTCCTTGAAAGAGTCTGAGAGGAAGCTGGCTGCAAGCCGGGTCTGGCAACGCCTTCGAGGCGCAGCCAAAAGTGTTGTCAAACACTTGGACCCAGCTGACTATGATTCCCTCACGGGATTGGACAGGCTGATAGAAGTTCTTCGAGCTTCTCCTCTACAACGGCTACCAGTCCCGGACTCTTTTAGCAGGTTGGAAAAATGGTCCAACATGAAACGGCTGCAGAATGAGACCATTCCCCAGCTGTTAGTGCGAGAAGAGGAGCTGTTCACAGAACTGCAGCAAGGGTTGCAGCGTGCGAGAACTGAGAGAGCAAAGATGTCAACGACTGGAGTTGGAACCAGCCGAGAGAGAGATCCACCTACGTCACCTTCAAGGTCGCCAACTGGTCCCCAAGGAGCTCAACCAGCTGATGACGATGGTGCCGCTTCTGTGGCAGCACCGGTTTCCTTGGAGACCGACTTCTTTGGCGATGAACTACGTGGATACCGTCTTCTCAAAGCTGCAAGACTCTCCAGCCAGGAGAGACAACATGTCTTGACCTTGACGTCGAACTCTACGAGGTTTGTTGATGTACGCCGAGCCCTGCGGACTCTTTTCGCAGAAGAAGTTGGAGCAGAAGATCAACGGCGGAAGATATGGTTCCAGGAGACAGCATCCTCCTGGGATGCGGGTGATGACTATGATGAAGGCCCCGGCTGGCCTGATGAATGGTGGAGTGCTGAAGAAGAAGCCTACTGGTATGATGATGCCTCATGGGCTTACTACTACGAGGACGAGGACTACAGCACTGATGGATCCTGGCAAGATGACTGGGATTGGACAGATGGGAGCCCCAAAGCTGATGATACCAGCGATTTGGGATCAATCCCAGAACATGAACGCTACCAAGAGGCTTTTACAATAGCCCAGGAAGCCAACAAGACACTCTCAGAGGCCAGACAGGCCGTAGCAAAAGTTCGTGCAGCCCGTGGTTACTTCGACCCAGCTGGCATGAAGGGTTCCACAAGCAAGGGATCCAAAGGAAAAGGCAAAACCAAGGGCAAGCCAAGAACAGCCCTTGGCCCGTGTTTCATTTGTGGATCAACGGGACATGGCTACCTGAATTGCCCTGACCGCTACTCTGCCTATGGTGGTTCCCCGAAGGGGTCAAAAGGCAAGGGCAAGAAGGGCGCTAAAGGCAAGCAGAAAGGCAAGTTCTCTCAACGCCAGGTGAACTACGCTGGCGACTACTTCGTCGACATCGAGCAGTACAAGGAGATTGTGGAGGACGACAACCTGCAGGCCATCAACGTTTTGAGCCTGGAGAATGACAATGCAGCCAACTGCATCAACGCCTTCAAGGCCATCATAGACACAGGCGCCACTGAGTCAGTTTGTGGTGTGACAGCAATGGCAAGGATGATTGACAGCATCCGTGACCCTGAGTACCATGTGGTGCTGCATGACCGGCCGACTTTCAGGTTTGGAAATGGCCACACCCAACAAGCTACAAGCCGCCTGGACATCATGACCAAGGCCTTGAAGATGGTTTCCTTCTACCTCTTGGATGGTCATGCTGAGATGACGCCTCCTTTGCTTGGTGGTCGTGAACTTTGGAACAGAAATTCCGTGGTGGCCTACTGTGGTGAGTATTTTGCTCACCAAGCAGCAAATGGAGCATGGTGGACCAATCCTCTGATTCGTCTACGTGGACGTCATGTGGCAATCGACCTGGATGAGGAGCCTTCGAGTTTGGGATCCTGGATCAACCATCTTCAACGACCTCTCTCACCTGATGATGATGATGGCGATTATGGAGATGGTGGTGGAGAAGATGGACCTTCGAGTGGCAATCGTCGACCTCGACAACGAGATCCTGGACAAGAACATGCAGTCCATGACGCAGTTCGAAGAGCTGCCAACCGTGCCAATGGTTTTGCACCTCCCGACAACACTCCTGCTGATGCTCCCCCTGAACAACCTCCTCAAGGAGACCGTGGTGATGCTGGACCTGCTGGTGGAGCTGCTGGAGGAGCCGCTGGTGGTGGCGATGGACTTCACCGAGAACCTGATGAAGTCGAAGCAGTTTTTGGGCCTCGACGTTTTGGCGATGATGTCAAGATCTCCGAGGTGATGAACTTGGATGGGACCGATAGCGAGTCCTTGGAAGTGACCTCTTTTCAACATGGCCGTGCTGCTTCCTCTTCTACCTGTAGGGTTCCTTGGTGCTCTGGCAACAACTGCCGCCACAAGCCGATGAAGCGCGAGCTGGAGCCTGACGACTCACCGAGTGACCGCAACTCCAAGCCAAAAAGTTTTAGTGCTGCCTCAGGTTCAACAACATCCCCAAAAGATGAGCCCAATCAAAACGAGTCTGAGAAAAACTGCAACAAAGTTCCCAAAGGAGACCATGATGGGGATGGGGGTAGTGCTGGAAGTCAAGGTGATGGTGGTACAGGTTCTATTCTGATGATGTCAACGGTTTTTGGTGCTGGCATGGATGTTTCACGTCATGGAGTTTCACATCAACATGTTCACGATGCTCATCCACATGTTCATGCTGCCTCACTATCTCATGCCCCTGCACATCAACATGATCATGAAGTTTGTCATGGAGCTGATGCGACTCTGAAGTCCCTGGCTCAAAGGCTTGAGAAGCTCAAGAAAGAGATCAATGGCCCAGTCCAGAGTTGCCGCGACACCGGTCGATCCCCGCCAAGACGGATGGCCATGCCGTGGAGCCCACCAAAGTGGCAGGGAGAAGAACAACCAGTATGCGCGGTGGACAAGTTGCAAAACCTGTGGCCTACGCCTGAGCTACGTGGTGAAGACCAAAGGCCATGGGGAGTCACGGTCGGTTGGACCGGCACCGGAACTTGTGGCGATGGCACAAGAAGAGTTGCAACAGGTTTACCAGCCGGTGGAGATGAACGAGAAAATCTTCATGGGCAAGGTCATGGAGATCAAAGGCAGAAGCCTGGTGATGCAGCGTGGTCAAGGAAGCCTCCAGGTGGAGATCAGGGCCGACCAACCACGTGGCCGAAATCTTCTGGGGGAAGCTGCACCGACCACAGGCTACCAAAGGAGATCTCAGAGCACTACGGCGACCACAACGCCGATGCCTACAACACCGACACCCGCACCGCAGACTCCAACAAGGTCGACAAGGGCGACAAGGAGCGTGTCACCGACACCAAGTTTTGCTCCTTCGGAAGCAGTTGTACCAGTTGTGAACCCCATGGCAAAGGCCAAAGTCAAAGCTGCTCCAGTCCCCGAAGTGCCGATGAGGGTTCTGCCGGATGCCAACGAAGTGATGGTGATCCACAGCGACGAGGAGACTCTGGAAGTGGAAGGCTAGCAAGCCTTTGGTGTTCTCTGAAAGCCTTGCGAGAAAGGATGAGATCCTCTGATGGATCTGGTGGCAACCGGCTGGAGGCTGACCGCCACAAGGAGCCAACAACCACTGATGTCAACCCTGGCAACAGCCAAACCACGTGCACTACGTCCACTACGCCAAACAAAGGCACTACGAAGCAGGACATTTTGTCCATGAAAAACAGTTTCACAAGAGAAATTTTGCCGCCCTTGGCAAAGAAATTGGCAAAAGCCGCAACAATTTCTGCAATGGTCCTTGGCCCCGTGAAGGAGATCTTCGCAGCTACGGAGATGAAGTACGACCTGGTGGAGATTGCCTGCTCTCCTACGTCTACCTTGACCTCTACCTTTGAACAGAGTGGTCTTCAATGCTTGCGGATCAATCACCGCACTGGCTTTGACCTGGACTGCAAGAAGGGCACCACCGCTCTTGCCAAACAACTTCAAGACCATCCACCTCGCCTGGCGTGGGTGAGTCTCCCATGCACACGGCTCTCCAGTCTCCAAAACCTGACGGAGAGAGATGAAGCTGCTTGGAGCAAGTTTCTGAAACGCAGAGGTCAAGACCTACGACGTGCTGATGAAGTTGCCCGCTCTTTGGAGCCGGTGATTGCTGGTGATGACGACTTTGGATGGGAATGGCCGATTGGAGCCGTAGCTGGTTGGCGCTCAAGCGCAATACAGCGATTGGAACGGCTGGCCAAGAAGCACGGCAGGGTGATCTATTGGATCAAAATACATGGCTGTCAGTATGGCCTGGAATGGCAGGGTTTACCTTTGAAGAAAGGTTGGCAAATCATGACGACCTCTCGTGAGCTTTGGCTTCGAGTTTGCCGCCGCTGCCCTGGTGACCATTGCCACGCTGAATGCAGAGGGCCTGCTGCTGTTTCTTCTTCATATTACCCTCCAAAGCTTTGCAAGGAGATCCTCAAGGCCATGAAAGCCCAGTGGGACATCAAGGACAAGCACACGGTTTACCTCACCGAGAAGTACCTGCTTGACCTCGAGCCCGACATGATGGTGAACTTCGAGGAGGACTTCCCCGCTGAGAAGGTGATGGCTTTGACGAGAACTCGTCTCAACTTGGACGAGGCCCCGACAGGAAAACGCTTGGAAGCCATCAAGCAGATGATGCTGCGAGTTCACCGAGCTTCTGGGCATAGTGGTTTTAGCAACCTTCAAAAGCTGTTGGAAGCAAGAGGCTCACCGAAGTGGGCAGTTGAATTGGCTGGGACGTTGACTTGTCCTGAATGCCAAGAAGCTGCCAAACCAGCCTTGAAGCCTCCAGCAGGCACTGAGGATGGACCCGCTCTGTTTGAGATGCTGGGCACGGACGTTTTCGAGTTCGAGCACCTTGACGTGAAGTACAAGGGCATTCTTTGGAGAGACCGAGCAAGTGGCCTCACTATGATCGACATCCTTCACCAAGGCGACCATTGGGAGCCCAAAACAGAGGATGTGATCAAGTCTCTCACCAAGTGGATGATGTATCATCCGGCCCCAACATGGGTCATTGCCGACTCTGCCAGATACTACACCAGTTGGGAATTCACTGAATACCTGGCCCGCGCTGGTGTTGGGCTGACAATTGCACCTGCAGAAGCTCACTGGATCATGGGTGCGGAGGAGCAAGCCATAGGCTATGCGAAAAGAGTGGTTGAAAAGCTCCTTCAAGAAGAAGGCCCCTATGATGTGCCAATGTTGTTTCAGCTGGCAGCCCATGCAATGAACTCTCATGTTGGAGCTCATGGTTTTAGCGCGTTTCAATGGGTTCACGGAAAAGACTATGCCAATGCCACCTTGGAGAACCTCCCAGTTGGACTTCGAGCTGGCAAAGCCTTTGGTGGTCTTCTCAAGATCCGTGAAAAGGCAAGACTTGCTTTTGAACGTGAACGAGCCCGAGATCGCTTCAGTAAGCTGGCCAATGCTGTGACACGGCCCCCAGTGAAGGTGGCAACGGGTCAATTGGTGATGCTTTGGCGCCAAAAGATGAAACCTGGGCGCGTTGGTGGTTCTTGGATTGGCCCTCTACGTGTTGTACTGGTTGAAGGCAGTACGATCTGGCTAGCAACTGGAAGCACTCTTGTGAGAGCAAAGGCAAACCAGATCCGACCTGTGACCAGAAGAGAGGAGCTGACAGCTTCTTTGGAAGGCACGGCAGTCCACAAGACTCCAATCACCACTGAGACCCTGATGAGAGCGTTCAAGGGACGCTACTACTATGACATGACCGGCAATGTGCCGAGTGAACAACAACTCCAACAAGACCTGAGCCCTACGGAAGTTCAAGTTCAACCTCGACCTGAAGCTCAACGTGCTGACACTTGGGAGCTTCGTGAGGACAAGGACTCCAAGACCTTGGTGCGCATACACCACCTTCCAAGACTTGCTTTGTTTTCTCCCCTACGAGTTCAAACCTGCCCGGTTTCTATGGACGAGCTCACTGGCAAACGCACAACAGTTGTGCGACCGGTTCAAGGTGG